TATTTTAAAAATTTTTTTTTTTTTTTTTTTTTTTTTTTTTTTTTTTTTTTTTTTTTATATATATGAATATATATAGTTCCTCATTTATTTTTATTATTAAACGTTAAATTAAATAACTTTTTTACTTTCTTTTAAATTTAAATATAACTTTTATATAATATATATATATATGTTATTTTGTATTAGTGTATTTCATACAGAAATGGATTTTTCCATTTATTACAATAAATCATTAATTTCTTTAACGGAAAGCATAAAATTTTATTATAATACTTTGTATAGGGTTAAAAAACAATAAAGAAAAAGTTGTATAAACAAATAACAAATTTTAATTTTATAATATATTGATGGAAAATATTTTATGAAAATGTCACTTTTAACAGATGAAATAAATAAATCGTAAAAATAGAAATACTTATATTTACGTTTTATTTTTTCATTTTTATGAATTAATTATATATTTTTTTAAAAATCTTTTAGAATGTGGATATTAAAAATAGCTATATGCTTACTACTACTTTATACGGTAAAAAAAATTTATTTTTTAAACAAAATAAACTCATAAGCCTTTATTTTTTTATGTATAAAATAATATTGTTCCATCGAAATTTATCCATTAGAATTATAAATCTGTCTTCTTATGTTTATTAAGAGGATTAGTATTTCTTACATAAAATATCCTACCTAATGATTTATATACTTTCAATCTTATAATATTTTCCAGCAAAAAAAAAAAAAATTCTATATTTTTATAAAAAGGTGTTACATAATTATAAAAAATATGTATTGAAAAAGTGAATCTGTAACTTTTAAAAGAAATACAAAATAGCATATATTATAAAAGTATTCATAAATAGTAAGTATATACAACATAAAGTTTATTTTAATCAAATAACTTAAAAAAAAAACTTTAAAAAAAAAAAATTAAAAAATTATAAGATAACATTATATATAATTAAAAATATGTAAATAAAATTATGACATTATAAAAAAAAAAATAAATTGAAGAATGCAAATATTTTAATTTATTTTTTTTTTTTTTTTTTTTTTTTTTTTATATATATATTTATGATAGGCCTTTCTCATTATTTGAAGTATTACTATCATTAATCAAATTATTTTTGTCACTTTCTCTAACGACGTCAACTGAATCATCCTCTTCATTTTCGCTTTCTTCATCTGAATGCTTATCTAATTGTTTTTTTTCGTTTAATCCAAGTAATACTTTAAATTTTCCACTATTATTAATTATTAAATGAATTACATATATAGCTGAAATACCACCAAAAATACAAGTAATAATTATATAAATAAAATTCGTTCTAGTAGATTCATTAGATTTAGAACAAAATAAGTATTGGAATAAGCTAGATTGGCAATCAAACGTCATAGCTAAATATGTATTAACAGCAACTTCTTTTTTTTTAAAACTAATTGACATATCACAACCAATCATAACATAATCTGCTGTTAAAACGTTTATATTAGGATTTGTTTGACACAATTTTTTTAAGGATGGTTTCCAATTATTTGAATTATATATATCTTTAAAGTAACATGGAGTTTCATAACTAGGGCAAGAACAAGATCTTATTTTTTCGCTATAACCTATTGAATTTTCATGTTTATACATGTCAGTTATTATACAATCAGTTAGCATATCCGAATCATTACTTAAAAAGTTTTCATTTAATAATTCATTATCATCATCATTTAAATCATCTAATGTATTTGCCTTTTCAATTTCGTTTAAAGGAATAACAAAAGGGGGTATTTTATCTTCTTTGTCTACATTTAAATTTGGATTACAATAAGGTAAATTTGAACAAAATTTAATATCTAACAACTTGTTATTATCATTTACAACAACACTACAAGATTTTCCTGCATATAAAGCTTCCTTAAGAAGAAGTCTCGTTCTTTTTTGTAATGCATTAAAATCATAGTCATTTTCTCTACAACTTTTTGAGCATTTAGTCCATTCAGACCATTCAGTATAGTCGCAATCTACATTCTTATGCTTACATAAAACTAACCCTCTATTTGAAATATCAAAATAACTACAATTTTCATCAAAAAATTTAAAATTTTCTGTATATATAGCTCTCATATTTAAATCTCTTTCATAATATTTTTTACAATTTTCAAAAGAATAAAATTGAGCATTTTCATTGCATAGAAATTTTATTCTCTCACATTTTTTTTTACATTCATCCTTATTTTTCTCTTCATTACTTTTTACAGTATTGCATTTCATATATTCATAAAAATTATTGTTATCCCAACTTTTTAATCCATATTTACAATAATTGTATAAATCATTCTGTGAAATATCTTCTACCTTATTTGAACTCTCGCAGTGTAACTTTTTAGAATTAGATAAAACTATAAATATATTTTTAACATCAAGAACCTGTTTTGTGTCACAAAAATCACTATCCATTAATTGACTAACAAAATTTGTATCAGTAATGTCATTTGTTGAACAAGGTTCTGAGTTTTCTTCACTACAATAACATGAATTAGTAATAGGATTAACCCATCTTACTAGTTCATTATCTGCATTTACGTTATCAGCAGCTTTATCTAAAAAACATTTAAAATATTGTATTGTATTATTTTTTGAATATGCCCTATGAAATTTTTGACTCACTAATTTTTCATCATTTTCATCTTCAATGTCTTCATCTGAATCGTCATCATCATCAGTTGCCATTAACCTCCTTTTTATTTTCATTCTTTTAAAAAAAAATAAAAAAAAATGACGATATAGTACATCAAAAGTACAAGGAATGCTTTTATAAATATTATTTAATATATTAAGAAATTTATTCTGAACACTTTTATAAAAAGAATGATAAATATCATACAAATTATTGTAGACATTATAATTATTTTTTCTATTTAAATCACATAAATCAACTTTAAAATATTCACAATTTTTATCATTTTTTTTAAAATTCATTGTTTTTTCTTTTTTATAAGGAATACAATAATCAAGCGTTTTCAAAAATGTATCATCTATAAAAAGTTTTGTAGTGTGAATGCACCTTTTTTTTATATTTTGTATATTTCTCTTTATGTAAAATATTTGTTGGCATACAAATATGAATATAAAAGAACTTAATATTTTATTACATATTCTGAATTTATTATTTGATTGTTGCAATTTTTTTTGAAATGAATTTTTAATTTTATATAAAAATTTGTTGTCAAAGTACTTTAAATAAAGACCTCTTATTTTGCATATATAATTAATGTTATTGTAAAATAATCTATAGCACAAAAAAATTATTTTCTTATTTTGATTTTGAATTAAGAAAATATTTGTAAAGTGTGATTCATAATGTGTCCTTTTATATTTATATTCAGCATATGAAGAAATGTATCTATGTTTGTTGTTCACATTTGCACTCAGTTTTTCCTTTTTATAGTGGAATGAATGGATTTTTAAGTATGAATTTTTGTATGTTACATTATTATCACTTAATAAATTGTCTTCAATTGAATTAATAAAATTGATACCTGATTCCTCATTAATAACATTATTAAAGAATCTTGTAGGAGAAATTATGCATGATATTAACAAACTGAAAAATAATGTTTTCAAAACAATACGTTTATACATTTTTATAAAATACGTTAATTGAAATGTTTACGATAAATATTTCATGTTTATATATCCTTATTTCTATTTTTTGATCTAATAATAAACTTTACTTTTTTTAATAAATACACACTTGGAATTATATTTCATTAGATAAAATTTAGTATTTTAATATAATTATGTATATATATATATATTCAAAAATATAACATTTCTATTTACGAATTGTTATAACTATTTTTCTAATTTTTATTTTGCTTTCTATTAAAAACACGTATAAGTAGTCTTGTAATTTAAAAAAATTTCTATAAAAAATATACGTGTTTAAAAGAGTATTAAAATTAATAAAAAATTCTTATAATTTTGTATGTATTTTGAAGTAACTGATAAGGAAAATAAGATAAAAAATATTACAAATATTAACAACGTAAAAAAATATATAAAAAAATAGATATAAATGTTCGTCAGAGTAATAATAAAAAAAATAACGTTTAATATGTAAATAATATTTCTTAATTAAAAAATATAGATTTATAAAAATATTTTCTTCTTTACTAAAAAAGAAATAATATGTGTCCAATTATCCTTGGAGTAATGAAGGACAAAATAAATCTTGAAATATCTTTTTTTCTGAACTAAATAATGACAGTCATTTCAAGATAATAATTAATATATTTTATCTTTTCACCCAATTATTTTTATAAAAGCTTTAAATAAATTTAGCATTTTTATATTTCAGAATTTATCTGTTATTATGACTTAATTATATATATTTATTTAAATATATTATCAATTATTTAATATTTTTACTTTTGAACAATTTACATGTTTTTTATATTAATTTTATTATTTATATATTTATGTATTTATAATCATATATTTTTAATTTAAATTATTCTTCATATTATTAATTTATTAGTAATATGATAGAAAAAAAAAAAAAAACATATAAAAATATTCTCACAGAAAAAATTTATTTTTTTGTAACAGAACTAATTTGTTCTAACAAAAAAAAAAAAAAAAAAGAACTATTTATTTTTTTTTTTTTTAAGTATAATACTATTTATGTCCTTAATTACAACTTAAAGCATTAATGTAGCAACGTGCATTTTTTTTTGTTTTTAAAAAATTACTTGTAATAACATATGATTAAAAAAAGAAAAATTAATTTTTATAAAATATCATTAATTACGTGTTACATATATATATATATCAAATAATATGAAAAGGAACTAGTAAATATGAAGAAATTGTCTAAAAATAAATAATGAGCTCTTATTTTTTTCTGGGCACAAATAAATGTGCATGCATTCTTTTTCCTAAAAAAAAAAAAAAAAATTAAGAATTTTTCTTAAAAATTAGTTTAGGAAAAGTTTTTATTTAAAAAATAAAAAAAAAAAAATAAATAAATATATAAACTAAATAAAATAATACGTTTAATTATTACAATTTTTTTTTCTTTTCATATGAGTTATTTACATATGTAAATTATTAAAAATGCATACTCTAAATTTGTCCAAAATAAAGAAATAGTATATTTTTTTTTATAAAATTATAATTTTATTTTCTCATAAAATATGAATAAACTAAACTAGATATAAAAAATAAAATAATTTATGTAATTACTACATTTTTATATATAACTAAATTTGAAAAATTGAAATTAAATGAAAAAAAAAAACAATAATTGTTCTAGTAAAATATGCTCAATAATATTCTTTCAAATAGATGTCTATTCTCAATTGAATTTTTTATTCAAAATTTATAGATATATATATATTTTTTATATTTCATAATTTATGAGTTTAAAATTTAACAAGAGAGAAAAAAAGAAACTTAAAAAACATTTATTTTTTTTTTTAATTAATAACATAAAAACTAATTTTAAAAAAACAAGGATTAATGCTTTATAAAAAATTTTTTTTAGCCATATCTTTGTTTTCATCAATTTATATATGAACAAGACTTAATACTAATAATTGTTTTTTAAAGTTTTTCAATTAACAGAAAAGAAAAAATTAAAAAAATTATAAATTCAAAGAATATTATAAAAGTGAAATTTAATTAAATTAATAAGTTACTACATAAAAATATGATATACTTTTATCTAAAAAAATACACTATACTATTATTTAAAAATATAGAGTTACAAAAAAAATTTTATTATATTATTATCTAAATAAATAATATATTTTAGAATTCTTGTTAATGTTATTACAAAAAATTTTATTTCTTTGAATATAATACTTTGGTTTTTGTGAAAAAGTTTTAAATATTATAAAAATAATGTTAATAAAAAAAGCATTATTATATTTTAATAATTTTTTAAAAATTCATAAAAACATGTATCTCTTTATTAATTACAAATAAGGAAAATTAAATTAACTTGAAATCAATAAAAATAATATGGATTTTTAAATATCTTATAATCCAATGTTATTTTTTTTTTTTTTGTGTTCTACAATTATTAATTAAATTTTATAAGATTACTTTATTTTCGAAAAAATATAAAATTATATATGTATATATAAATTTCTATAATTCCTTTTTCTTCTTTTTTTTCCCCCTTTTTTTTTTTTTTTTTTTTTTAATATATTGTAAAAACATTAGTATATGTAATTTCAAACTCATTTATTATTATTTACAGATTTAATTTACTTATACTTCATCTTACTATGNTAAGATTTCTTTATTTTCGAAAAAATATAAAATTATATATGTATATATAAATTTCTATAATTCCTTTTTCTTCTTTTTTTTCCCCCTTTTTTTTTTTTTTTTTTTTTAATATATTGTAAAAACATTAGTATATGTAATTTCAAACTCATTTATTATTATTTACAGATTTAATTTACTTATACTTCATCTTACTATGAAACTTAATATAATTATTTTTAAAAAAACATACAAGAAAATAAAACAATGAATAATAAAAATAATTATAAATTTGTAGTAGTTTATAAAAAATATGAAATAAAAAGGAAAAATTAATTTATTAACATAATTTTAAAGAATTTCATACTTTGATAATGTGAACTTTTAAAAAATATAATAAACTTTTTTTAAATAAAAATATTTTTACATTTATATTTATATTAATATTTAAAAAAAAAAAAAGTAATAAATATAATTTAATTTTTTTGAATTTCTTATATTTTAAATATAAAATGTTACAAAATATGTAACTAAATTAGTAAAATTGACAATTTGTTTTAAAAGCATTATTAAAAAAATATCACATGGAAAGCAATACTACTATCCAACATTATATTCCATAATAAAAATATTTGCTTATATACACATTTATATGTAAAAAAACTTAGATTATAAATTTATGAAACTTTATAAAAGAAATTCGGAAAGGTTCTTATAAATATGAAGTTATTAAAATATATAAGAGGATTTTCATAAAAGGAAAAAAAAAAAAAAACAAATAAAAAGAAAAAAAATAACATAAACAAAATAAAATAATAATAATTATTAATAAAGCATAATATATAAAAATGGCAATTGTTAAATCAAATATATATACTATGGAAGAAGAAGAAAATGAAATTAAAGAAAGAAAAACAGGTTTATATTTTCCAAATATGTTAATAAACACCCATAAAGGTGAAGTTTATTCAGTTAATTTTTCTTCAGATGGGAGATTTCTTTCTTCATCAAGTTTTGATATGACTATTATGATTCATAATGTGTATAATGAATGTGAAACAATTAATGTTTTAAGAGGGCATAAAAATGCAGTATTACAAGCAAAATGGTCAAAAGACGATAGTTATATATGCAGTGCTTCAGCTGATCACAATTTGTGTTTATGGGATGTAGAAAATGAATCAAAAATAAAAAGTTTTAAAGGTCATACAAGTATTGTTAATGCTCTGGATATAATTAATCATAACTCATTTGTTTCATGTAGTGATGACTGCACTCTTAAATTATGGGATTTTAGATGCAAAAAATCGATTCATACTATTAAACAAGATTTTCCCTTATTGGCTGTGTGTTCAGATAAAAAGGGAGAATTTATTTATACCAGTTGTGTTGATAATACAATTAAAGTTTATGATAGTAAAAATTACAAATTAAAAGATATATTAACAGGACATAAAGATTATATAAGTGGATTAGATATAAATAACGACGAAACTATATTAGCTTCTATTAGTGCAGATGAAACTATATGCTTTTGGGATATTCAACCATTCTCTTGTGACGAAAAATTATTATTTAATTTGAAAGCACCAAAATATAACGTTGATTATAATTTAATTAAATTAAGATTTAACAATGATAATCTTTTAGCATGTGGAAGTGGAGATAATTATTTATATATTTATGATTATAAACAAAAAAGTTTAAAATATTCTCTTCCAGGACACCATAGTACTATTAATGATGTTTGTTTTCATCCTTTTGAAGAAATAATAGCTTCCTGCTCATCTGACCATACAATATTTCTAGGAGAGTTATAATGAAACAGTTTTCTTATTTTTTTTTTTTTTTTTATTCAAAAATGGAAATTTAAATAGTATTAAGTACATATCACTCTTTCTGTATTTCTCATTATATAATTTAAAATAAATTTAATAATTGAACCTTTTTATTTATATTTCAAATATTTATCCTTAAATGGCAAAAGTATAAACATAAATGTACATATTCATAAAATTAAATATAATTTTTCAAAAACGTTTTTCTTATTTTTTAGAAATATACAAATTATTATTTTATTGCATAATCTTATATTTTCATTTCATTTTTAATTTTTTTTTTTTTATAGTATATATAGTAATGTATTCAAATTTTTAATAATTCATATATTTTTACCTCCTTTTTAACAATTTTATTAGTTCTATATATATATTTATTTATTTAATTTTTTATTTACTTTCTATGTATGTTTAATAAATACATTCTATTACTTTTATATAAAAATAAAAATTTTATATTTTTTCAGTAACTTTAAAGATACAATTATTTATAAAAGTTTTTAGTAGCTTTATGGAAAAAATGAAATAGTTAAAAAAAATATAAATAATATATTATATTTTATACGTCAGAGGGAAATTTTTAAATATTAAAAAACATATATACTTAAAATTTTTTTTAAAAAGACAAAATAAAAATTGTTTTTTATAGAATATTTTACAACTGTTGTTTGATAAAAAAAAAAAAAAAAAAAAAAAAAAAATTATAATATAAAAAATTAGAAAAGTTATATAATAGTGGCACTTTATATCTAAAATAGCTTAGAAGACAAGAATTCATTAGAAAAAATATTCGGTAGTCAATATTTATAAAAGTAAATATAATAAAATAAATACCATATATATATATAAACACTCTATGTAATAGAAAAAAAAAAAAAAAAAAAAAAAAAAAAAAAAAAATAAAAAGGTTTTTCAAAAAATATAAAAAGTGGAATGTATATAAATAATTTTTTATAAATTAAGAATTTAAATTAATAAACAATAAAAATAAATGTTCATTATAATTAATAATATTACATATTATATTAAAATTTGATAATATATTATTTAAAAAAGTAATATATAAGCTAAAAAAAAAAAAGTATAAGAATACATAAATTTAAGACAAAATATTATTACTTAATAATAATCTCAACTAAATTTTGTCTTTCTTTATAATACAATTCAAATTTCCTTAAACTTAATAAGTTATACATAAATTCATTAATATGTGAGCACATTTTCATAATTATTTTGCATGGAGCATATTTTTCTGTGATCATAAAATTATAAAAATTTTCTATATTACTTTTTACACAACCATATGAAAAATCTTGGACATATTCAATATCATAAAATAATTTATCTTTTGTATTATAATATAAATTTCCCTTAACATGAATGTATGTGTTATCTTCCAAATCAAAAAATATTTTTTTATCTTCATCATAAATAATTTCATTTTCAGCAAATTCATAAGAAGGAACAATTTTTTTCAAGTATTTGAATGCTTTAATACCCGTATTTAAGCAATTATTTCCATTCTGTAGTTTATAACCGAAATCATTTTTTGAGTTAATATTAGCATAGCTTCTATAACTAGCTGTAGAGTTACTAGTTTCTCTTACTATGTTGTAAGAATTAGTTTTATATAAAGCCTTTAATCCCATATCTTCTTCATTGAAAGAATTAATATGACCTATTGAATTAACTTCAATATTTCCATAATCAAAACAAGAGGATTTTCTAGATAATTCATTAGATGTAATTGCATTATTGGAACAATCAATGTAACAAGCATTACAGTAATTATTAATAAATTTTTTGTTTCTGTCAATTTTTCTTTTAATTGAATTGACATGATTTTTATAGCACTCATTTAGGAATGAGAAATATTTCTTATTATTAAGTGGTTTACTCTTAGATTTTTTTCTTGAATAAACTTTACTGAGGTTTAAACAATTATTAGACGCCAATTTACAAAAATTATTGCTGAAAAAATTATAGTTACAGTTAATATTTTTTGTACAGCATTCTTTTTTATCATTAATTGTTCTTCTTACATTAGTCAAATACTTGTTAATATAATTTTTATATGAATCTCCAAATTTCTCATAATTTCTTTCTAAACGTTGAAGATTTTTTGAAACTTTTTGGCAATTTAAGTTCTCTTTCATATTTTTAATTTTGTATGAACATAAATTATCAGACATAGCTGATTTCACAATCTTAATACAATTGTAATTTTTTATATATTGTTTTGGATTAGTACAATTGTAATTTTTTATATACTGTTTAGGATTAGTACAATTGTAATTTTTTATATATTGTTTTGGATTAGTACAATTGTAATTCCTAATATATTTTAAAGCATCAACGCAATTATAGTTTCCATAGTATCCATTATTAGTAGGAACACATTTTTTTACATGTTTTAAAGGATTTGAAATGAAATTCATACCACCTCCAACACATTTATATGTAACCTTTTCTTCTTCATTATATTCACCATTTTCATTGTTATTTGATGCACAATTTTTTTTGTATTCTCTACTTTGTAGTAACTCATTATTGCTTGTACATGAATAAAATTTATTAAAATCAGTAGAAATGTTATTTCCGTAAGGTGAATTATCAGTATTATATAGACGATCTATGCCAAATGATTGTGATTTTCTGTTTAAATTATAAGAAGCACGTTTTACAGGAGCTTTATTTATCTGTCCAACGTTTGTTACATAGTGATGAATAATACTGTGAGAATTATGAGAATTATGTGCTAAGTTAGAATTAGTACCGTTTAATCCTACTCTATTTTTATATCCTCCTATTTGTTGTAAATTTTCATTTGTATTATTATTTGAAATATTTTCATCATCAGGATTGCCGCTATTTGTTCTTGGATATTGTATATTTTGTGCACTTTTTAGTTTTAACTCTTTTAAGACATTATCTAATTTAATTTTTGTATTTTTTTTTTCCAAGCAAAAATAAAGATCTTCATTTGAATTAAATGGATTTTTCTCATCAATGTCTTTTTCTTTTTCATTATAATAATTTATACTAGTAAATGGGTTCGAGTTATCCAAATTTTCCTTATCTTTTTTTTGTTCATTTGCTTCTATTGTTTTCGTGAGGCTTAAGGTGTTATCAGATATACTTGTATTGACATGAGAATCTTGATAACTTTGATATCTCTGAGATGAATTTTCGTTATTTATACTACTTTCTCCACTAATATCTATATTACTTACTTTTCTTTTTTTTTGTGTAATTTTTAATTCTTCACTGCTTTGCATCCATTCTATTTCCCTTTCTAAATTAGTGTTTTCGTTCATATTTATATCCTTCTCTACCTCATTTTCAGAATTAGCATCGTCTTCATTAATATTTTCATCTTCATCACTTTCTTCTTTTTCTGAATTTTCATTTTCTCTGTTTTTCTTTACTTTTTTCTTTTTTTTTCTTTTATCATTTTCCTTCTCTTCTTTGTTGAAGTTATTTTTTTTTTCGTCGTTATCACTATCAGACCCATCGTCATAACAATCATTGTTATTCTTATTATTTGAATTTTTGTTTATATTATTATTTTTATTATTTTCATTTTTTCCTTTTCCATTTTGACCTGAAAAGTTGCTATTTCTAGATCTTCTTCCTTTTTTGCAACCGCAACTTCTGTATTTATCAGAGTCTACCAAAAGTTTTGAGTTTTTTTTTTTCTGTTTTGTTATTAAATATAAATTTGCTAATGCTTGCATGTAAAATTCAACGTCTTTTTTTGATTCTACACTTAACTTCTGGTCATCAGATATTTTAAAATTTGTAATTTCAGGAATCCTTTCATTTATATGCTGTACATTATGTAACACTTCCATTCTTTTTAAAAAATTATAAACAAATATATATTCTAAAAAAATTTTACTTTAAAATAAATATTAAAAATTTATTCTAGTTTAGTATTTTTTTTTTTTTTTTTTTTTTTTTTTTAATATTAAAAATAGTTAACACACTTGTTTATTGTTATTTTTTTTTTTTTAATGATAGACATATTTTTAAAGAGTACTATATAATTAACTTATATTTAAAATTAAATAATGTAACAATTAGTGAAAAGAAATATTAAATAATTAAAAAAAAAAAAAAATAAAAAAATTAGACTAATAGTAAATTCTAATTTTTTGTAGTTAAAATAATTATATATCAATATATTTACATGTATATATATGTATTTTTTTTTTTTATAGAATACAAGATGTAATGTGAATTATAAATATAACAAAAAGATTAACAAAAAAAAAAGAGAATATTTTTTTCTCTTAAAAGAAAAAAAGTTTTACCCTTTTTGGTGGTATTAAAAAAAATTTTAAATTTAAAAACATTTTATTGTTGAAATTATTTTAATATTCAAGAGTTAAATACAAATGAATAAAGAAAAAAGTAAAAAACATATATACAAATACATCCATATGTATATATATATTTATCTATTGAAGTTGTCAATTATTTTTTTTGTGTGCTGAGTTTAATAATTAAAAAAAAAAAATAATCATTTTGTTCTATTCATTAATTAACTAAATTGCTTTAATTTCTATTTATGTAAATATTAATAAATGCTATATTTTTTTAAAATTTTTTCAAATGAAGAAAGTTTTAAAACAACATAGGATATGTAACTTGTTACATAGAATTAATTAATGATATAATTCTATGAAAATTTACAATTTTTAAAAAAAATAATTACATTTCATATACACATTTTAACTTAAATGTTATGTATACATATAATTTATGATAGAACTATGAGAAAAAATGTTTTTTGTATAAAAAATTAAAATGTTTCTACATTTGTAAAAATACTTTATTATTATTTTTTTTTTTTTCTTTTGTTTTTTTTTTTACATTTTTTATTTCATTACTAAAAAAAATTTTATATAATTTTTTTTCTAAAAGTTACCATATTATGCATGCAATAAAAAAATTATGTGTAACGGTGTCAATAGCACACTTCCTTTGATAATTGAAAGGTATGGATGGAAAAATTAAATTTATTCATTGATGAATACTTATATTTTACATTTAATAGCGAATAAAAAAAAAAAAAAAAAAAAAAAAAAAAAAAAAAAAAAAAAAATAGCCAAATATGGAAAAAAATAAAAATATAGCTAAAATATAAATAAAATAAACAATGAAAAATATATATGTGCATATAAATTTTCTTAGATGAGAGCTTTCAAAAAAAAAAAAAAAAAATAACTAGAAAAATAAAAATATTGGGGAAATCTATAAGTGTAAATTTTCCATTAAATATATTTTTAATATTCCAAATATTTTATTATTTGTTATTTAAATTTTTAAAATATATTTCAGATATACTAAAAATAATAAAAAAATAAAACAAACAAAAAAAAAAAAAAAAAAAAAAAAATCACAACAAATAGTCTAAATAAACTAAAAAAAGTAAATAAAGTAACATATATAATAAAATAAAATTTAAGAATTACAAATTATATTGTAAAAATGAATTGATATATATTTATTTTAATAAACTCTCTCTTTATATTTTTTTTTTTAAGCACATTTTAACATATTTTTTAACATACTATTTTTTGTAAATTTTTATTTATTGTTTGAACTAAATTCCTAATTATGCCAGAAGGATGATCCAAAAGATGATTTAATCTAATTTTTTTGAAAAATATCCACACCTTTTGACTTTTTGCATGGTATTTTTTGTAACTTTTTTTTAATATAAAGTTACATTCACACAATATAAATTCTAGCATCAATTCATTTTTTTCAAAAAACAACGGTTTTAAATATTCAATAAAATTTTTATAAATCTTTTTTTGATTTATGTAAAATATTATTCTAATTGTGGTTTTTGCACACATGGCTCTTATGAATTTATTTTCACTGTTGTAAATATTTGATAATAAATATGGTAATATGTAAATTTTAACCCATTTTTTGTTCATAATTTTACAAAATCTATTTATATTTTCATAAAATTCAAATAAAATTTCATCATTAGAACAGTTCAGAAGAAAAACTAATTGGTTCCTTATTTCATTTAATGTTTCCATATATTTAACTTCAGATAAAGTATTTTCTATAGTTTTATTTTTTTTTTTTAATAAACTTGCATTATATATGTATTGAATTGTAATAAAAGAAAATAGTGGTAAATATTTTGCATAAAAATATTTTTCATAATTTTCACTATTTTTTAGCAAATAAAATTTTGGTAAAAATTTTTCAACGTATATATGCATATGCTCATATGTATTTGCATTATTTATTATTTTGTAAAAACATTTTAATATAAGAACTTTAATTTTATTAGTTGAATTATTAAAACAATATAATAAAAAAGATACTATTTCTTTGTTTAATGTACAGTCACTTAAATGACAAATAATGCAATATATTATTTCTATGGCTAATATTTTAATGGATTCATATGATATAGAATTATATGAGGATATAATAATATTCACTAGTTTATATATATCTTGATTGAAGGACCATTTATGTAATTTTTTATTTTCATAAGAAGTGCTTTTTTTAAAATAAAAATCGTTGAATAGGGGTAAATAAATGTTTTTTTTATAAAATTCAAGATAACCGAAAACATCCATATAACTTTTTTCTTTGTAAAATATACAGTAATATATGAATTTGTAAAATTCTAAAAACCTTTTATAAAATAAATGAGTATTTTTGTATGAAAGAATAGGAAATGGAAAGTAGCTTTTACAGTGGTAACATTTTTTCTTTTCTTCTTTTTTTTTTTTTTTGTAATTTATCCATTGTTGCAAAATTTGCTTTTTTAATTGATTATTTAAATTTGTATCAACAATATATGTTCTCATTTGATGTTCATTTACACTAGTAGTAAATAAGTTGACAATTGTTTTATAATAAAATAATTTTTTATAACTACTCCGATTATTATTATTTTTATCTGTTGAATCTCTGTTTACACAGTTTTTATCAAATACATTGTAATTTTTATTTTTACAATAATCATGTCTATTTTTTGCATTTAACTTTAATAGGATGTATTTATCTTTTTCTTTTTCAGAAAAAATATCTAAATGAAATAATATAAATGGTAAATTAAAATGTATTAGCAAAATAAAGAAATTAGAATTTTTAAATAAAGGATGTAATTGAAGTATAGAAAGAGGAAAGAAAACATATTTATATGTGCTTGGAAATATATAATAGGACCAATAATTGAATATTTTAAATATATTATTATTTTTTTGTATAAAAAAATGATTAATAAGAGAATATATAATAAAAGGATTTTTTACTAAATTTACCACCTTCCATATTTTATATGGTACAACTTTATTATTTTTATATTTCTGACTTTTCTTATCTTTCCTTTTTTTCAAATTATTAAGTAACATATAAGAATTATCAGAAAATAAATCATGTTTTTTCTGAAAATTCAAATTATGTAACACTTTATTTTTTATTTCCTTTTTGGAATTCAAAACATCAAAATCACTATGTGCATGAATATCTTCTTTTGCATCAATTTCATTATCATTATGTAATATGGTTTTACTTTTAAGAATTTTATCATTACCATATGAACAACTTTCGTTATTACTTTCAATTACAGAATAAGAAGTTACATTATTATAAATATCATTATAAATATTTATGTAGTTAATATTATTAATATAATGATAGTTGTAGTATCTGTATTTATCTATATTCATTCTTACATCTTTATTTTTTTTGAAATAATCATATTCTTCATTTTTCATTCTTTTATTAATAATTGGTAAAGATAGGGCATGAAAAAATTTTTCACTATTTTTTTTTTTTGATAAATTATAATTATCAAACTTTTGTCGTTTTGTATCTTCTGTAAGGTATAATTTCTTATTTTCTTTTGTTTCGGTATAAAAATTATCATCGTTACCATCAAAATTTCCATTAAAAAATAAGTAAGATACACTTTTATCTTTTAGCAAAATTTCTAATATTAATAAACCTAAATTAAATATATCTTCTTGTAGCTTTTTTAATCTTCCTTTCCTTTTATTTTTGTATCTAATAAAAACATATATTAAAATATATTTATACTAAAGGATAAAAAAAAAAAAAAATATATGTTATTAATACAGAAAAAAGAAATTCATCTAGAGTGAGATATTATAATTACGTATATTGTTATTTTTTTTTTTTCTTCCTTTAAATTTTGCTTTTTAAAATATACTATTATATAATATATATATATATATATATATATATTTAAAAGTTTCCTATTCTACAAAATAAAAAATATACCTTATTTTAGGAATAAAATATAGATAATTATTCAAAATATTAATATCTGTTATAAGAATGTGCATATTATTTTGTATTAGAAAGTTTTCACTTTTTATGTGACCATGATAAACACCTAATGAATGTAGTTGTATAACAGATAAGAATATTTGAAATATAAAAAAATAATAAAAGCTATAATTATTTCTTTCACTAGATAAATACTGATCTAAGTTTTTAAATATAAATCTTCTGTATATATAAATATTATTTTCGTAAACGCTCATTCGGTTATAAGGCAAACTAAAAAAAAAAAAAAAAAAAAAAAAAAAAGGAATAAATATATACTTATATAGAAGAGTTTAATATATAAATTATTTTAATTAAATAAAAATATGTTAATTTTATATATTATAATAATACAAAAATTAATAGTAAACTAACACATTTGGAAATAAATCAAAAGAAAAAAGGAATTTCAGTGTGTATAATATTCTTTTTATTTTATGAGCTTCACTTTTTAATTTGCATATTTTTATTAAAACATGGCCTTCATTATTATTAATTCCCTAAACATAAAAATATTTTAATTAAAAAAAATTTATACTAATTTTTCTTTTAATAAAAATTAAATATTCAAACATTATATATTTTTTTATTACGTAAAGATTTCTTTATTACTTCTAAAACATGATAAAAATTATTTAAGGTGTAAGAATTCATAAAAAAAAAATGTTCATACTTAAATAAATAATTGTAAATGTTGTATAAATTATTTACATATTTACAATATATATCATCTAGATCTGTTGTACTATGTCCTATGTTACTATATATAGTGTTCCCCATGTTTTATAAAAAAGTTATTTAAACATATTTGTATAAAAACACCAAACCACATGTTTTAACATCATATATCCTTCTTTTTATATTTATTAAATATATTTTTTAAATTAAATTTATATAAATACAAAATATATATATAATTCTATAAAAAGATTAAAAAAAAAATATAAGGTTAATTTATAAATCAATATATATTTTTTTATGATATTTAATAAAAATAGGTAAATTTGAGTATTACATATATTTTATTTTTTCATAAGTATTGAATTTAAGAAACTTTAGTTTTTTTTTACATATTGTTTTAAATAAAAAAATAGTATATTTTTAAAAAAAAAAAAAAAAGAAAATATAAAAAAATAAAAAAATATATAAATATAATTCATTATGAAGAATGCTAAAAAAAAAAAATTGAAATAAAAAAAATTGATAAATAATCTATCAATTAAATAAAATGATTACTTTCCATAGAAAAAAAAAAAAAAAAAATAAATAAATATATATTTAATAATTTTTTAAAAAATTGTTTATTAAAATAATAAAAAAAAAAAAAAAAAAATAAAAAAAAAAAAAAAAAAAGGTAAAATAATTAATAAAAGAATTAACTAAAATATATGTATTTAAATGTGCTAAACATCTAAATCAATATCACAAAATAAATCTTCATTACTCCATTTAGCTTCACCTATAAAAAAAAAAAATAAATAAATAAATTTCTTATTATATTTTTCATTTATAATAAAGTATAATATGAAAAAATTAGAAAAATAAACAGATGTTAATTAAAAAGTAAAAGAAAAAATATAAAATTGATTACCTTCATCATATTCAGTATCTAATAAATTGAATTTTCCTTTTTCAAATAGTTCTCTTCCTGTTGGATTATCTAAATTACCATTATTATTCATAACATCAAAAATATCTTTATAGAATTCTTTCCTCCATGCATTAAATTCTTCTTCGGTTACACGATACTATGAATAACATGTTAAAATATATTGATATAAAAAAAAAAAAAAAAATTCAATTACTAAAAATTAATATAAAGTGTATATATGATAAACCAAAAAGAGTACACATTAAAAATAATGAGTTCGTATCGAATACATAATAAATTAATATATTTATAAACACATTCAAAAACGAAATGATAATAATAATTATTTATTAAAATAACATGTTCAATAATAAAAATAATAGTTATATACAACGTGAATGAGCAATATAAATATTCATCTATGTTCTTAAAGATTTATAAAATATATACCTTTTCTTCACACAATTCTTTCATTTCCAGAACATTTTCATAATTAATATCATCTTTTTTATTATCATCTGCATTTTCATTAATAACTTCCTCAAATGATTTTGGTTGTCTTTCAATCATTTCATCATACATTGATTTTTCTTCTATATCTTCTAAAATATATGTCTAAGAATATATTATAATTTTTTGTTATTATTTTTTAAAAATAATTTAACATTTTAAAAAGACAATATATGTATAGTAATATATATATATATATAAGGTAAATGTAATCATAAAAAATTAAATATATCTTAATATAGTTCTAAAATATACTTATTACATTTATTTGTTTAATTTTTTTTTTTTTTTTTTTTTTGTTAATTACCCTTATGTTTTCCACTATACTATAAATCATACTGTATCCTAAATTATTTTCTATAGTCTCTTTAATCTGATTTTCCACATTTTTTTTTAAGGAACTTGATAAATTTTTACCTAAAAAAACACGTTAATTTTGTATTTTAATAATTCAATTTTATTAATATAAATATAATAAAAGAAAAGAGAACATAATTAAAAAAAAAATACAAAAAGAAGGTAAAAATATAAAAATTCATAAAAAATAATGAAAAAAAAATTACTTTCGACAATTTTATAAATAGGAGATTCATCAGGATATTTCTCTGTATATTCAAATAATATATAAAAGGAAATTTTTTTAATTTTATTTTCAATTAAAATCTTAAAACTATTATTATTTAAACATATAAACTCATTTGTATGCTCATATAACAGAGATAAGCTTTCCTTTTCGGCTAGTTGTTCACTCTTGTAATCCATATTTCTTTAATTTTCTTTTTTTTTTTTTTGAGAAAACAATTTTCATATATTTTTGAACACCTATATCCTAGCATCATAAAATTTTTTTCCTACTTTATGTGAAAAAAAAAAAAATCATTAACTGAAAATTTTTCTAAGAATTAAAATCATCTAAAAAAAAATTTATGAAAAAAAAAAAATATATATATATTCACAATATTGTAAATTTTTTATGACTCAATTTATGCATGCTTTAAAAATTGTTTACATATATATATGTTACATATTTCTGTTTAAAATATGAAAAAGAAATTTAAAAAATATCTACTTATATGTAAATATATATTTTTTTTTTATTACTAGAATTAAAATAAACCATGTACTACAAAACAAAAACTAGAAAAAAAAAAAAAAAAAAATGAAAAAATAAATAAAAATAAAAAATGAAAAATAAGAAGATATTATTTTTTTTGGAAATATATTTTACCTAATTTATTACAATAGTAAAATTTTATTTTTTTAGTATTTTTTTTTTTCCCTTAATATATATATGTATTATAATGAAAAATGAAATAAGATTCATTTATTAAAACTATATAAATATATATTTTTAATTTTCCGTTATTTATGTAAAATTTAATTATTATTTAATATATAAACTAATATGATTCTTTCATTTTTATCTACAGATACGTAACACATTTTTATTTTATATATCTTTTATTATTAAACAAAAAAAAAAAAAAAAAAAAAAAAATTGAGATTTTAATACTGCATATCTATGTATATAAAATATTAGAGAATATAAGAAAACAAAAGTATTAAAATAATTGTATGAAATATACTCTTAATAGAATACTTTAGCTAAAATGGAAACAAAAAATTTAAGTCTATACTGTAAATTTTTTTTTTTTTATCATGTTTTTTATAAAAATAGAAATGCAATTAAATAATGTATATATATATATATATATGTATATATATATATTTATATATACATTAATATTTAAAGGATTATTTTAATACATAATTGTTGTAAATGAATATTTGAATAAAATAATTTTAATTTATAAATACGAAACTTTAATAATAATGTGTTAAATATACTATAATTTATACATATGTGTAGAAAAATATATTATTATAAATGAAGATGATGTATTTTCTATAAAGTTTGATATATTTATTTATTTTTTTTTTTACTACATGGTATCTACTGAATAACATAAGACTTCAATTAAAAAAAAATAAAAACAAAAGAGATATATAAAGAAATAGAATTATATTTATAAATTTTATCATTTTTTTTTTTTTTTTTTAATAACTTTAAAAGCATTATTTTACAATAACATTTTTAATGTCAAACAAAAAAAAAATTCTTTTTTATAAATATCTTAAATAATTGAAACGATTTATCTTTATATATATATATATATATATAATGATATTTTTATTTTTATAAAATTTATGACATCATTTTTTTTTATATATATAAGTATATGAATATATTTATGTATACATATGTTATGTTTTTTTTTTTTTTTTATTAATTGTACATTTAAAAAAAAAAAAAAAACAGAATTCTTCTAATAAAAAATTAAAATCAAAATCGAAGTATTCTTTATTTTCCCATATTTAATAATTTGTTATAAAAATAAAAAAAAATGCATATACATGCATATATATACATATAATAAGTACATAATATAAAAGATGGTATGTAAAAAGGATTAATAAATGGTAGCATAAAGTATTTTTTTGAAATACACTTTCCTAATATATTACTAATTTAAGAAATATTAAAATATTAGTTTGATATAGTGTGTATACGTAAAGATAAAAATTATCACATTAAAGAAAAAAAAAAAGGAAATATATAAAAAAAAGAAAAACAGAAAAAGTGAAAGATATAAAAGTGTATTTTTAAAAATAAAAAAAGAGATAAAAGTTTAATTTCATTTATAAAATATGATAGTATTTTAAATATATTTCTTTTTATATATCCATGTATAGATTTAAATATACATATATATCTATATCTATATATAAATATCTCTATATATAAATAAATCTATATTTATATATATATGTATTTATATATATGTATATACATATATATGTATATAGATATATATATATATATATTTATAAATATATATATATTTGTTTATTTATACATATAGATAGATATATATATATATATATATATATATATATATTTATATGTATGTATGTATATATATTTATATTTATAAATATAGATATATTTATTTGAGTATATAATTATCTACTTAGTGAATATGTGTTGTATCTCATTTGATTTGGGGAATCCATACCTCCATACATCAAATGTGTCATATATGGTTGATGATGATTTCCTATTATTGGCTGTTGAACAGAATATGGTTGAGCAGGGGTTAGTTGAGGTTGTGCAGGTGAATTCATTTGCACATAATGTTCTTCTCCTTTTTTTAATTGAACTTTTAAATGTTTTCCTGATACATAAAATCCGTGCATACCTTTAATCGCATTTAAAGCAGACTCAGGGTTATTAAAACTCACAAATCCATATCCCTTATTTCTTCCACTGGAATCTCTTTGAATTCTTGCACTTATTACATATCCAAAATGTTGAAAGTGCTAATTAAAATTTTACAAAAAAATGAAATAAATGTATATTTATATATATATGTATGTATATTTATATATATGTACGTATGTTTATATATGTGTATATAATATTTTTCATTACTTGATATAATTCCATATCTGTCCAATGTGATGGTAAGTGAAAAACAAAAACATTTGCACCTGGTGGCCCAAATGATGCTACTGTACTTTTTCCTGTATAATTTGTTGTTAATATTTCTTTTGGTTTTTCCCACTGTGAATGTCCAGTAATGGAATTATAATAATATGGGTGTCCATCTGATGTTACATGTTTTTGCCAAATATTTTTATTAGCTGCCTGTATATCTGTTGGGTTATTATATTTATAACTAGCAAATCTCACATCTAGTGGTCTTTGACTATTTGGAAAAATACATTTATAATCTAAAGCTTCAATTGCTTTATATGCTTCTGATCTTTGTTCATAAGTAATGAATGCCCATCCCCTTGGACTTTGAGCTGTAGCTGGTACATAATAAACTTGAGTTATTGTACCATATTTTGACGCTTCTGCCTTTAACTCTTCCTATAAAAATATACATATATTTATTATTATTTCAATGAAATTAAAATGTTCATATATTATTTTCACTTTATTCACAAAAACAATACTTAACATTTTTATCTGTAAATCTCTACTTTCTTTTTTTCTTAAATATAAAAAACAATAAACACAAAAAAAAAAAAAAATCAAACGAAACATATATATATATATATATTCACATTATTACCTCTGTAACATCTTTAGGTATACTTCCAATAAAAATTTTGGTAGAATTAGTTAATGACATGTTTTTTTATAATTTGAATTATTTTTATTTATATTTCTTAATTTTTAAATGTTTTTATTCCTTTTTTATTAGTAACTTGTTAAAAAAAAATATATGACTGTTCAGAACTAAATATATATTTTAATTTATAAAAAAAATTTTAAGTAATCAATAAAAAATATGTTTAAAAAGAATTTAATTATGGCATTAAATAAAAGAAATTAAACGTTATCATTTTTTTTTGGCCTTATTTTTCTTTTCTATTTTTCTTTTAAAACCTATTCTTTGATCTTATTTTTCCAATGCCTTTAATTTGTTATATTAATCTTTATTTTTTTTCTGTATATTTAATTTTATTTATAATATTTTTATTTTGTTTTGTTTTCCACTTCAATTTGTTTTAATTATTTTTTTTTTCTGTAGCATACGTTTATGTAATATTAAATTTTAAAGAAAATATTTCATGACAATTACAATTATAATTTATTTTAAAAATTAAACATAAAAACAAAATATATTAAAATTGCTTTTATTTAATTTTAATTAATAATTTTTATTTTAAAATATATGCATATAATAATATTTTTAAAATTGCTTATAATTTTTTTTTTTTTTTTATATATATATAATATGCCATGATTTTTTTATTGTTTATCCTTAAGATGTACTGCACGCTATTATCTTTTTTTTTTTTTTAAATATTTGCACGCAAAAAAAAAAAAAAAAAAAAAAAAAAAAAACAAAAATAAAATGAAAATAAAACCATTTTTTTTTTTTAATTTCACAGTAAAAATAATTTTTAATAAATCTGAATAAAAAGATAAAATAAAGGTTTATATTATGTATATATATTTATTGATTTCTTATAATTAGACGTTTTTTTTTTTTAAAATGTATTGAAGATTTTATTATATAACTAAATTATTATTTATGATAACATATGAACGTTTTTTTTTTTTTTTTCTTCCATCTTTGTGAAACATTTTTGTTTCCTATATTCTTCATGTTGATATAATTTTTAAATAACGAAATGAAAAGTTATTAATATATATATATATATATATATATATATAACACATATAATAAATTAAATTATCCATATGAAAAAATTTAGATTCTACTACAAATAACAACAAAAATCATAAGTTATTTCTTAATATATTTTCCTCCTGTGAAAATATAAATTGAAAATACTTACTATTACAAAAAATAAAAAAAGAGTAATATAAATTATTAATGAGGCATATTTTTTTTTTTACAAGTAATATATATTACATTAAAAAAAAAAAGAGATATTAAAAAAAATCATGAATAAGACAATTATTTTGTTATAATGAACCTATAATTTTTTAAACATCTTAAATTACAAATATAATAATTTAAATATAATATATAAAAAACCAATAATTAAAAGTTACAAATATAACAATTTTTTTTTTTGTAATTATTTATATATATATTTTATAAAATATGGAAAGATGAATAGATGAGTTATAAATATAATTCCTTTTAAATATATAATTAAAACATTGAAATGTTTATATAATTTATATGTATCTTTTTATGTGTTTTAATTATATAGTTATTAGATGAAAGGAAATATATAATAATTGATAAAATATATTTGAGAGGAAAAAATAAAAACATTGATTTCATGCCCTTTTTTTTTTTTTTTTTTTTAATTTTATATGGCTTTTATTTTTATATCTTTAAATTTCTATCAGTAAAATAAATTAGGAAAAATATATAATTCTATTCTAAGTTGCATAATGCACACAACAATTATGTATTTAATATTTTTATGATAAAAATTTTATTGTGAAATTATTCTTTTTATAAATAAATCTTATTGTTAAAAATTTTTTAATAATAACATTATTTTTATTTGAAAAAAATTACATCATTATGAGAAGAAAGAAAGAACACAAAAAAAAAAAATAAATAAAATAAAATAAAATAAGTATATTTATTTTTAATTTTTAAAAAATTCAAATTTTTCATTTTTGAAAAATACTTATTCAGCATGCCAATAAAAATATATATGATTAATAAAAAAAATTTCGAAACATTATATATTCATTTACAAAATTTAAACCAAAAAGATATGAAATTTAAAATCAATTATGATGAATGTATATAAAAATAAGTATAGTATTTATCTTTTAAAAAATGAAAAGTAAAAATTTTAAAAATATATTTTTTTTTTTTATATTTATTAAATACATAAATTGCATAAATTTTTATTTTTTGCAATTAACTAATTTTTAATATTTTAAGTGAATTTTAAAAAATACCAATTTTCTTTTCATTATCAAAATAAGTTTTAGTTTTTTTTTTCATTTTTTTTTTTTTTTTTTTTTTAAATTTAATTATAAGAAAATGGAGTATATTTTAAGTAATCAAAATGAAAATGTACTGAATTGTCAAAATGAAATTTTAAAGAAAAGAAAATTATCAGATGAGAATTTTTTTAATAATATTAATGAAGATATTAATAATGATTTATATAAAAATGAAAATGAATTAATTAACATTAATGAAAAACATACTAATAATAAATCAGGATTAAATGAGTGCCATTTAAAAAAAAATACTTTTACTCCAAATAATAATGAAATTATAAATAATGGTTTCATTAAAAAAATAAATCATATAAATGAGAATATAAAAAAAGAAAAAGAGGTAATATTAAATTATTCAAAACTAAAAAGTGAACTAGATTTACATAATAATAATTCATATGGAAATAATTTTAAACAAAATGGGATAAATAATTATATTTTAATGAATCAAAGTATAGATAATTCAAATAATAAAATGGAAAAAGAAATAAATGAAGATACATATAATTCAAAATTTAATTTAAGTAATAAAAATGACGATAAAAAGATTACAAATTCACTTATAGATAATAGTACAATACAAAATACTAATCTAAATATTCACCATATAGATAATCAGAATAAAAAAAATTCTCTAAATATTAATTTAAGCAATTCCATTTCTATTGAGAATCATGAACAAAAAAATAATTTTACAGATGAAAAACAGTTAAATAATACTTTATCAAGTAATTGCAACCCTAATTCTAGCAATTTTAGTTCAAATTTAAACAATTTTTTTAATAGTAATGTAAATATAAATATGCATTTAAATAATAACCATGAAAATAATAGTTACACTTCTATAATAAATCAAATAAAAATGAAAAATAATTTCAGTTCTGCAATATGTAATTCAAATAAAGACATAAATACAAATAATAATGCTTTAAGTAATTATTTAAATATACATAATAAAGAAGATATGATTAATTCAAATTTAAGAAAATCTTCAAATAATAGAAATATAACCTTTCATGATATTGATCTAAAAAGATTGTCGTCAAATAATTTAAAAAGAAAAGTGGATAATATAATAGTTAACAATAACTCTGTTAATGATTTTTCGCTTAATAGAAAAATTGATTTTTTAAATAGTTATGACTTAAATAAATGTAAAATGAATACTAATACATTTTTAACTAATAATAATAATGATAAAAACAGTAATAACATAAATAACAGTATGAATGATAATAATAAAAATACTAATAATAATAATGATAATAAAAATAATAATAATATTAATACTAATACTAATAACGATAATAACAATGGAAATAATAACAATAACTACAATAACAATGACAGTAATGATAATAATAGCAATAATGATAATAATAATAATAACAATAACAACAATAATAATAATAATAATAATAACAATAACAATAATAATAATAATAACAATAACAACAACAATAATAATAATAATAACAATAATAATAATAACAACAATAATAACAACAATAATAATAATAATAACAATAATAATAATAACAATAATAATAATAATAATAACAACAACAATAGTAATAATAATAATAACAATAATAATAATAATAATAACAACAACAATAATAATAATAATAATAATGATAACGACGATGATGATAATAATAATGATGATAATGACGATGATGATAATAATAATGATAATAATGATGATGATAATATTAATGATAATAATAATGATGATAATAATAATGATGATGATAATAATAATAATAATAATAGTGATAAAAATAATTTAAATGATAATATTATGAATAGCAATAATGATAAAAATAATATAAATGAAAATATTATAAATAGTAATAATGATGAAAATAATTTAAATGATAATATTATAAATAGTAATAATGATAAAAATAATATAAATGAAAATATTATAAATAGTAATAATGATGAAAACAATATAAATGAAAATATTATAAATAGTAATAATGTTAAAAATAATATAAATGATAATATTATCAATAGTAATAATGATAAAAATAATATAAATGAAAATATTATAAATAGTAATAATGATAAAAATAATATAAATGAAAATATTATCAATAGTAATAATGATAAAAATAATATAAATGAAAATATTATCAATAGTAATAATGATAAAAATAATTTAAATGATAATATTATCAATAGTAATAGTGATGAAAATAATTTAAATGATAATATTATAAATAGTAATAGTGATTCCATTAATAAAAGTGATAATTATAGCAAAGATAATTGTTATAATGATAATAATGAAAAAGGTGGAAACAATAATAGCAATTGTGATAAAAATAGTAATAACAATAACAATTATGTAAATAATGATAAAGGAAATAATATTTTAGAAAACAATTCTAGTAGTAATAGTAGTATTATCAATACTAAAAACAGTATAAATAATAATGTAAAAATTGATAATAAACAAATTAATAATGGAATCAATAACATTATATATAAAAGTATTAACGAAAACTTAATAAATAATACTAATGATAATATTATTAAGATTACCAGTAACATTAATGAAAATAAAAATAATACCATAAATAATAATGTTATAAACGATGTTAATAACAATAATAACACAATTAATAAGAATATTAATAACAGCGCTAATGATAGTATTAAATATGATATATTGGGAAATGATCAAAAAAATATATTGATGAATAATAAAATTGAAAATATTACAGAAAATATAAATAATCAAAGTAAATTGATAAATCAGAATGTAAACAATATTGATATAAACAATATGAAATCAAATTTAGAAAATAATAAAAATACCATCTCACAAACAAGTAAAAATATGAACATAAACAGTTTAAATAATATTATGAATAATAATGTACAACTTATAAAAAATAATAATATAATTTCTAATAAACATATTATGCATATGAATACAAATAACACAAACGTAAGTAAAGGAAACAAAATAAATAAATTAAATGAAATAAATAAAATTAACAATATTAATTTCATTGATGAAAAATCACATTTAATAAATGATATATGTAAAACAAAAATAACCAAATACAAAAATATAGATGATCAAGAAAATTCTGTAAATATGAAACAAAGGATAGAAGAATTCAAATTAGAAGATAAGAAGAAAGATATTGGAAAACATGATGAAATAGATACATTTATAAAAGAGGATGATAACGATTTTAATAATAATATAAACAATATTAGTAATGCAAACATATGTAATATGAATAATGTAAACAACATTAATGCATTGAATAATTCTAATCGTATAAATAATGTAAATTTAATTAAGAACACGAATAATTTTAATTCTATGAATATTCCATTAAATAATATAAATTCATATCATTTTAATATGCCCTCATATAATAATGTTAATATGGTTAATTCATTCAACAACACTAATAATAATTTTTTACCAACTAATCAAATGAATCCAATTTCTAATAATCTCATGAATGAATTACATAATAATAGTAATAATAATAATTTTTCAGGAAATGCAAATTTTATAAATAATGCAAATAAAGTTCCTAGTATTACACAGTTAGGATTAAAAAACAATAAGAATATGTTTTTAAAGAGTTCTAACACAAATGAATTTGAGAATTTAAAAAAAATATGTTCTAATTATTCTAATAGTAGGAACTCAAATAATAAAGTCAGTTCAAATGAAAATAATAAAAGCACTATAAAAAACATACGTCTTGAAAATCTGAGTTTTAATGAAAGTATTAATTTAAAAAATGTTGATGATTTGGATTTGAGTATTAATTTTGTTAATGGTAAGTATATCTCTAAATTAAATAGCGATGAAAAAATATACAATATAGTTCATTATATTGTGAAAAACTCATTAGTAGATTACCTTTTTGATTTTTATAACAATGAAAGCTTAATTTATAAGGATAAAGGGGATGCATCAGAAGTTAATAGTAATCAAAGTTTAAAATATTCTAAAAATGTAAAAGATGAAGAAAATGTAATAAAAGAAAATGATGAAAAAAAAGAAGGAAATCAAGAAAAAGAAACAGATCAAAAATCAGTAAATGATAACGAAGAAAACAAAAAAGAGAATGAAGAAAAAGTAAAAAATGAGGATACCATAAGTAAAAAAATAAATGTTATAAATCATAGTAAAAAAGACGAAATGGAAGAAAGTAAAAATGAAGAAATGTTAAAAGAAAATAATAATGATGCTGAAAAAAACATAGATTTAAATGAATTAAAAAAAGTTTCTAATAGTAATAATATTGATATAAATATAAGTGACAACAATCTTTCAAATATTATAGATAACAAAAAAAATGCTAATACAGAAAAATTTGCAAGCATGGATAATAATAATAATAATAACGCATTAAATGAATTAAATAAAGATACTATTACAAGTAAAAACGAAGAGGTAAATGGAGAAAAATCAAATAGTATGGGAAAAAATGGGAACGAAAAAAATATAGAAGATAAAATCAATGAGGAAAGAAAAAAATTAACTCTCGACAAAAATCAAAATGATGGCATCACAAAAAAGATAGAAGATGGAATTGAAAAAACGAATAAAATTTTGAATGTAGATAATGATAAAAATTGTAAAAAGGATTCCACAAGTTATAATTTAGAAGATTGTACTTCTGAAAATAATAAATCAATATTAATTGAAATAACAAAAAGTATATGTTCTATAATAAATTTACAACAGTTGTTACCAGTTAATTCTAGATTATCAAACCCTAATTTAATTTATGATCCTAATTATGAAACTATATACTTAAAATGGAAAACATTTTTAAAAAAACAACAATCAAGCGGAAATTTAATAAGTAAATGTTTTTCAAGAGATTTTTTATATACAATTTTATTGTGTAATTATGCAAGTATAATTGAAGATTTAAAAAAAACAGCTGTAAAAAAAAAAATAAAGTATTTTTTTTTACATTTATGCTTGGAAGCAGGAATTTCTATTAATGTTGCACTAATGTTATTTATTAATGCAACTAAACAAAATAACAAATTACAAGTAATATTATAAATTAAAATATATATATATATATATATATATATATTTATTTATTTTTATTTTTTATACGTATTAAAATTTTTTTTTTTTTTTTATGTAGTCTTTATTACCGTCAGAAACAGGATTAGGATATTTACATAGAGATGCTGGTGGAGCAAAAGAAGAAAATATGGGAATAATAACATTTGAGTGTATAACGAATGATAGAGAACCAGATCATTTAATAAAATTAATAACATTAAAAAATATTTTCTCAAGACAATTGCCTAAAATGCCTAGAGAATATATAGTTAGACTTGTATTTGATAGGAATCATTATACTTTTTGCTTACTTAAAAAAAATACGGTAATCGGAGGGGTATGTTTTAGGCCATATTTTGAACAAAAATTTGCAGAAATAGCATTTTTGGCAGTTACTTCAACTGAACAAGTAAAAGGTTATGGTACAAGGCTAATGAATCATTTAAAGGAACATGTTAAAAAATTTGGTATTGAATATTTTTTAACTTATGCAGGTTAATATTTATTTAATTATATCCATCCCTTCATCATGATCATATATATATATATATATATATTTTTTATTGCATATTCATGTTATGAAATAGGTTATTTTTTATTTTTTTTTATTTTTTTATTTTTTTTTTACAGATAATTTTGCCATTGGTTACTTTAGAAAGCAAGGATTTTCTCAAAAAATTTCAATGCCAAAAGAAAGATGGTTTGGGTATATAAAAGATTACGATGGTGGTACTCTAATGGAATGTTACATATTTCCAAATATAAATTATTTAAGACTTTCTGAAATGTTATATGAACAAAAAAAAACAGTAAAAAAAGCAATTCATTTTATAAAACCACAAGTAATGTTTAAAGGTTTAAATTTTTTTACTGAAAATAAAGGAGCTTATTTACATCCAAGTAATATTCCAGGATTATTAGAGGTTGGATGGAAAAAGGAAAGTAAAGAAATATCAAAAAAAGTTCACAATAAAGAAATTCAATTAAAAGATCAAATTTTAAATGTTCTTGATTTTTTGGAAAAGCAACAATCAGCTTGGCCATTTCTTAAACCTGTTAGTCTTTCAGAAGCACCTGATTATTATGATATCATAAAGGAACCAACTGATATTTTTACTATGAGGAGAAAAGCTAGACATGTAATAAAAATATTGTATTACTTTTTTTTTTTTTTTTTTTTTTATCTATTTTTATTTTTCATGTGTTTTATTTTTTCTATAGGGGGAATATAAAACAAAAGAAGATTTTGGAATTGAACTTAAAAGAATGTTTGATAATTGCCGCTTGTACAATGCTCCAACTACTATTTACTTTAAATATGCAAACGAATTACAAACTCTTATATGGCCAAAATATGAAAGCATAAATGATAATGCAAAGTAAAGTTCTTATTAAAATATGTTAATTTTTAAAAAGTAAACTTAAAATATTTTATTGAAGATAAAAATGAATGGGTATTTATTTTTTCTTTAAATAAATAGTAATAATAATAAAATAATATAAAATTAAGGGTTGTTTTTAAAGGAGAAAAAATAAATTTATTATTTTATTTTTTTTTTTTTTTTTTCTTGTTATGATTATTTTTTATTTTATATGTATTCATATACATATGAAATTTATGTATTTTATTGTTTTTTTATTGATTTTATAATATTTTTTGTGTATGTATTATGGATACTGTAATATATAATTATTTTTTTTTTTTTTAATATTATGAAAAAAGACGCGATATAATCATAAGTTTTTGCATAAATCCTATTAAATAGTTTTAATAATAAAAAAAAAAAAAAAAAAAAAATTATATTCAAATGTTTTAAAAAAATATATAATTCTTACATAAAGAGTTTCATATATGAAATTAGTACTTTTGGATAATTTTTTTTTAAGACCGTCTGAAAATAAAAAGTAATACGCATTTTTTGTTTTATAATTTTTTTTAATAAACTTTTTTTTTTTAATTTTTTGTAAGAAAAATAAAGGAAAGTTGATTAATACACTTCAATTACCTTACATTTTTCTAAAAATTGTGATTTTTTATATTTTTTTATAATAACATTTTTTTTTATAGAAATAGCATTATTGATATATATAAAAATTTTAGAAATTTTTTTTATTGTAAATTTTTAGAAAAATAGAATTTAAGATTTTATAAATATTCATACATTATCATCAATTTTATATAATCACATAAAGTATCTTGTTAAAATTTTATTAATGATAAATTCATTTTTGTTTACATATTTATCTGTATGTGTATTAAATTAATCCATCAGAAATATTTTGAATAATACACATTTTATAATTATATATAATATGAATTAAGAAATTTAAAAAAATAGTTTTTATTTTTATAATTTTCTATACATGAAAAATAGGACAAAAAAAAAAAAAAAAAAAAAAGTGTTTAAAAAAGTTTTACATGAATAATATGTCTAAGTAGAAAAAAAAAATATTTAACTCTTAATGTGTTGTACTACTCGTTAAATGTATTTCTCAATGTTATTATGAAATATAATAAAAAGTAAATATAATGAATAAAAATTAGTAATAAATCAAATGTATTAAATTTAATTATTTATAATGGATAATTTATTTTCCAGATTTTATTTCTTTAAATTATTTTCTGAATGTATATAAAAAAAAAAAAAAATGTTAAATTGGATACAACGAAAAATCATCTTAAATATGGATTATATGGAATATTAAAAGTGTATTATTCTCTATTATTTATTTTGTTTAATTATTTTTCTTGAAATTTTTCCAAGTAAAATGTAAAATAATAAAACACAATTGAGACAAAAAAAAATATATAAATATATATGTATTTATTCATTTGATGAATTTAATTTCTATAAAAATTAAATCCAAAAAAATAGAAAACAAAACTGGAGAAATAAGGAGTATTTTACATGTAGATTAAAATTTTTTTTTTGTCTAAATTTCCCTAATAATTAATGAACGAAAATGTTTCACTTATATGAGTTGTTAATGTTTTTTTTAAGACATCCAAGAGATGAGTATGACGAAGAATTTTTAGGTCCAAATTTTTTACATTTTTACGATAAAAATTATTACAGAAAAGATATAATTATAAAGAATAGAAGAGGAGAGAAATTGAAATGTTGCCACTTTACTCCTTTTAATTATAATGAAAATACTCCATGTGTTATCTATACACATTCAACAAGCAGTTGTCAACTAGAAACATTAGATATATTACACATTTTACTTATTTGTGATTGTTCTATTTTTTCTTATGATTGTGCTGGTTGTGGTTTATCTGATGGATTTTATTCAACAAAAGGTTGGAATGAATCACAAGATTTATATTTAATTTTAAATCATTTAAGAAATATCGAAAAAATTAAAAATTTTGTTCTTTGGGGTAAATATTCTGGTGCTGTAAGTTCAATAATAACAGCAGCTTTGGATGGAAATATTAAATTACTAGTAACATATAAAAACATATTAAAAAATTTTATATATTTATTTTTATATATCTATTTCCATTAATTTCATAATTTTATTTTATCATTTCCTAATTTAAATAATATAATTACTCTATTTTTCTGATTTTATTTTTATCTTCATTATTATTAAATTATAAAAGATTTTAGATTCCCCATATGTGTCACTAACAGAGTTATATAAGACAACTTTTCATTTAAACGCCAAAGGAAAAAGGGAGATTATCTTTAAAAATATTTGTTTATATTTTGCAAGAAAAGAGATTAAAAAAAAATTTCATTATGATATAAATAATGTGTGCCCTATATTTTTTATTGAAAACATTACTACACCTACAATTTACATCATTTCAAAAAATGATAAAATTGTACATCCAGCACATTCTTTATATTTAGCTTACAAACAAAAGAGAGCAAATAAAACCATTTATATTTCTGAAAAAACAGTCCAATCCTACGAATCTTTTTCATATGAGAATAAATTAACTGTAGCTATTAAATCAATTTTATATGACTCCTCTTTTGAATCAGATACAAGAACAGTTTTTGATGAGTCTGCATATTCTAAATTATTTAATGGATTAAAAGATAAATATTCTTATGAATTTAATTTTATTGATAAATTGATAACTAAAAAACAAAAACAAAAAAAAAAAATTATTGACAATGTTAAAAGATTTATTTGTTTTAAATATAAAACTCAATCATCCCTTAATTCATCAAACTGTTTATAGTAAAAACAAAATAATATAAAAAAGAAAAATATACATATATATATATAAAGACGTGACAAAAAAAAAAAAAAAAAATAAAATAAAATAAAATAAAAATGAATTATACAAATTGTTATAATAACAATAATTATAGGAAAATGTTAATAAAAAGATATTTATATAAAATATTATATAATTGTAAAATATATATAAAAATGAATAGTTCTATTATTTAAAAAATATTATTTTTATTTTTTTTTTTTTTTAATTTATAGCCAATCTACTTTATGCTCTATGCGTGATATAAATCCAAGTAAAAATACTTTTTTTCATGAAATAAATTATTCTTATTAAATATAAAATTTTAATATTCTATATTGTCTATATTCACGATATAATAAAAATTCGTTCTTATTTTGTTTTATTATTATTTTTTTTTTTCTTTGGTATCTTATCTATAGATGAAAATGAATTTATGCGTTATGAATCAGCAGACAATATAAAATATGAAAATTATAAAAATGAAAAATCTATTGGAACAAAAATAATTAATGAATATGAAGATTTATTTCCAGATGTTGAGAATATTATAAATGAATCTAATGAAATAAATCTTTTAAAAAGTAGTGATAATGGAAACTTAATTAAGCTAAATCAAACTTATAAAGAAATTGACGGAGAAAAAAATCAAAAGCATTTTAAGATATTACATATGCAAAGTGCGAGAAGTTCACTCAAGTCAAGTAAAAATATTATATAAAGCATAAATATTTCAAACAAAAAATTCCACTAATTTTAGTTTATCTCAAATATTTCTGTTATTCTTTCTTTCTTTTTTTTATCTTATTCTATTTATTAATCCATTCATGTAATATTATATTACGAAATTTTAATGAAACTTTTTTTTTTTTTAGACAAAAACACATATAAAAAATCTTTAACATGGGATAGCAAGCTACACAGTTCCATTACGTATTTTAAGGAAGATTGTCCATTTGAATTAATGAAAAATGAATGAATATATTTAAAAGAAAATATGTTATTTCTTTATATTTTAAAATTTTATTAAAAAAAAATAGTTATATATTTTCGTATATGAGTTTATTAAATACAGAATATCCGTCTTATATATTTACAGTTAATATCTGAAAAATTTTTAATTGTTTTTATTAATTAAAATGCTTATTTTTTTGAATTAATTTAATACATATATATATATATTTTAAAATAAATAATTGCACATTTAAAATTTTATGTTTTTTTATAATTTTACTCTTTTCTTTTATAAAAAATACTTTTTTTTTTCTGTATTATAATATATTTTTAGTCTTACAGAAAATATAATATTTGTAATTTTTTTCATTATTGAACTACTTCATTAACTTTAATGATATTTTTTTGAATAACTAAAATACAAAAACATTTAATTTTTTTATGTTCTGATTTTAGATGAACAATTAAATGTTAAACTAAAAAAACACAAACTATAAAATTTACATTTATTTATTTCATTTCTTAAACATTTTTTCAAATATTAAAACAATGTATAAACAAACTGCAACAATTATAAATGTAGATAAAATATAATAATAAATTTTATATTTTTTTTTTATAGTACACAATTTTAAATCTACGTATACTTTTGAATTCTGATTATTTGTGAAATTTTATAGTTTTTTTTTTTTCTTACAAAAAAAATAACAAAAAAAAAAAAAAAAGGAAGAAAATATAGACTAATATAAAAAATAAATGAAAGTGGACAATAGAATAAAACAATAAAAATAAAAACAATACTAAAAACCAGAAACAAATCAAAATCAAAATAAAAGTAAAAAAAAAAAAAACAAAAACAAAATTTAAATATATGAAAATATTTTTTTTTTTTGAGATATAATATCTTAACAAAAAAAAAAAAAAAAAAAAAAAAAAAAAAAAAAAAAAAAAAAAAAAAATAATAAATAAATAAATAAAATAAAAGAATAATTACAATTTTTGTTAAAATAAAGTCTATAAAATATTTTGTGCATCTACTTTTATTATGTATATTAAACAAAATATATTTGTATTAGGATTTTTATATCATTTTTTTTTTTTTATAAATCATTACGACCACAACAATTATTTATAAAATTGCAAATTGATGTTTTATTTTTTCTTGGTTTGGGCTTTAATTCTACAATTGTTGCAGGGCGTACTGATACAAATGCTTGTCCATTACTATTAGCATAAGATGGTTTAAAATTTGATTTGCTTGGAATTGATCGTTGTCCATATATATTTTGCGATAAAGCATAGTTTTCATAAGAAAAGTGCATATTTGATGGATTAACTGATTTTTGTTCCATTTCAATGTGATCCCCTGTAATAGCACGATAATTTCCATGACTATTTTCCTGTATTGGTATTGAGGAGTATCTTTTTGAGCCATTACAAGATTCATGAATTAACTTTTCATTAGTTATTGCTTTCATGCTATCCTCATTGTATCTATTAGGTGTGTTTCCATTATCATTAATACAGTTATTATCTATTATATGATTCATAGATATATTGCAATTGTTATCGTAGGAATTCATATAACTTTGTTCAATTGACTCCTGTACCACATTTTGTGTTGTAGGTAAATGAATACTTACATGAGTAGTATTAAAATTTTTATGTAATTCTTCTATATTGTAATAATTTTCTTCCATATTTTTAACATATTCTTTAGAGTTAATTTCTGTATTATTTATTCTGTTTTCATTGTCTGATATTAAATTAGAATTTACATCATCATTGGTAGCATCGTGATAGCCAGTTTCGTTTTTGTTATACAAACGATCTTTGTAAGAACCTTCTTCAGAAGTAGTATTGCTGTTACCATTATTTAATTTTTGAGCTTTCAATTGATCAATTTCAGAATGATGTACTTGCATTGATGAATACATAATGGGGTCATTTAGTGATTCATACCGTCTGCTTGTTTCTGGAATATAAACATCTTCTTTACTGTTTTTTAAATCTAATGCATAAGTATTTTTTTTTATTGGAACTTTACTTAAAATTTCTTTGTTTGATTCATAAGAATTTTTTGAAATTTTTATATTCATTTCATTTTTTGTTATTTCACTGATTTCAGGGATTTCTACTGTATTAGTTAATACTTCTTTTTCAATTTTTTTAATTTTAAGAACTGGAACAACACGTTCAATTACTAAAGGCACCTTTTTTTCTATTATTTTTTCCTTATGAACATAAACAGGAATTTCTACAACTTTATTTCTATATTCTATTTTTGGAATGTGTATAATTTTTTCTTTTTCTATTAACTTCGGCTCGTATTTAATTTTATCTAAATATATTGGTTTTGGTATATGTTTTGTTTTGTACGTTATAATTGGTTTTATAACATCTACGTATTTATTCACGTATTTTACTTGTTCTTTCTCTATTATTTTTTCTATGTACTGAGTTACAGGTACTTTAACTATTTTCTCTTGGCGTATTGGTTTAAGAATTTGTTTACTAATATTTTTCGAATGTTCAAAGCTATATGGAATATTTGAAGGGAAATTTCCTGTTTCACCTTCCATTTTCTATTTTTTTATAGGATATAAATATGGAATATTAATTTAAATTAAGTATACAAAATATTTAAAATCACAAGGGAATGGATTTAAATATATAAACAAAAACAAGAAAGTGCATATATGGAGTTAACAAAAAATATATACAAATGTATTTATATGTATTAATTGATGTATTTTATATAATATCAATATATGTAAAAAATCAATTTTGGAAATTTGTAACTGATAAAAAAAAGAAAAAAAAATGCTTTTAAAACAAGAATATAATCAATAAATATTTTGAAAATTTTTGAAAAAGAATATATCATACAAAATTTTTCAGAAAAAATGTCAAAAAGAGAGTTATCAAATAAAAACAAAATATATATTAGGACGGTAATATTGATTAAAATTAAAATTAAATTTAAATATAAAGCATAGTAGATGATTAAAAATAATATATTTTTTTTTTTTTTTTTTTTTTTTTTTTTTCATATATCTATGCACATAACTTGTCCTTTTTCAACACTGATAAAAAATATGCATTTCTTTAAATTACATAGCTTGTTAAGAAAAAAAGAAAATGCAAATGTTAATGTTCTAAAAAAAGAAGAAAAAAAAAAAAAGACGTTAGCTATTTAGCTATTTATTCTTTTTTTTTGTGAATACTTTCAGTTATTCAATATTTTATATTACAAATAATAATTACTTAAGAATATACCTTGGAAGAATAAGAAATATTAACAGTTCATTTTGTACTCTATATTTTTACGTTGTGTCAGAAATAACCAAAATTTGTACTCGGAGAGCTCCCTTGCACAACAAAAAAAGTATTGACCAGTTAATAATTTTAATTTTTTTTTTCTATTATGCACTATTCAACGTAAGTAAATTTAATTTATAAGATGGTTTTATTTTGATTATTTAAAGTGTTGTAATTTTTAAATATATATATTTTTTTTTTTTTTTTTTTTTTTTTTTTTATGAATGAGTTAATATTCATATAAACTTTTTATAATTGAGATATTTTAATAGCTATTAAAAAAGAAATATAATAAAAATAATTTTCTCAAAAATGTATTTTTCTTAATTAAATATTGAAAAGTTGTAAATACAAAGTAATTAAGCAAAAATGCTACATATATCATCCACAACTTTTACTTTTGCATCAAAAATCATTTTTAATGACTCAATGGAGTAAGATGTTAATTTTTCTAATAAAGTACTATTATAACTTTCTTTATTATTGTTAATATTATTATTTTTTTGTATTTCAACTAGTTCATGCAATGAGGTATAATGATTATGATTCATACCACATGATAATAAGAATTTTAAGAAATTTTTATTAATGTTAAAGTTTAAAGACATTCCATGCATAGATACATATTTTCTTATTTTCATGCCTATTGATATTATTTTTTTGTTATTATAGAAAACGCCAATTGTGTTGTCTTTGGTGTGAGTTTTTATTTTAAATTTATTCAATGTTTCCATCCCAATTTTTTGAAAATTATTTATTGTTTTATGTAGATCAAACAAGTGTTCTATGCTTGTAGTATTATCTTTACTATTTTCATTTAGAACATGATATTCTTTATTTTCTGATGTTGCAAAATGTTTTTTAGGATAAATACAATTAGAAGAGATACCTTTTTGACTATAATTAGAAGAATAATTTTTTAAATTGAAAATAAAATATAAAACTAATTGACCAGGCCCATGGTATGTTGCTTTACCTCCTCTGTTGATACGATAAATTGGTATCTTTTTCTTATTTGCATTATATAGAAAGTCATCAAAATAATTTTTTTTTTCATCATAATTATCACACTTATCTAAATCGTTTTTAATATTTTCATGTTTATTTATAAATTGGATAATTTTATCTGAATTAAAGTTGCTATGTATGTTTTCTAATTCTTCAACGTAATAATTTATTTTGTCTAAAAGAATATCGTTTGGGTCTGCTGCACTTCCCAGAGTATAGCAAGGAGTATGTTGCAATATAAAACAAAAATCATATTTATTGAGATTTTTTTTAAAATTTTTCAATTTATTTAATTCTAATTTATTTGAAATATTTAAACTGTTCTCGTTTTGTAAAATTATTTTTGATTGATGCAAAAAGCTTTGCAATTCAAAAGCTAGTCGATAATCTATAAGTTTTTTACTGAAATCAAAAACATAAATTTCATTTGATAGGTATATTTTGCTTTTATTATATTTCTTAATATTTACTTTAAAATTACTCTTGATAAACATTTTTTTTATATTATGTTTATGATTTTCAAAAGATAAATATTTTCCCCTTGAGAAACTTTCATTTTTGAATATTTTGATACACTTATTCGCATAACAAAGTATTATTATATTTAATAGAATTTTTATTGCAAGTAATATTTTATTCATTTAATAAAAAAAATGAACATCATTTAAAATGGACATAAAAAATGATGTATATAAATTCCAGGATTATCAATTTTGTGAAAATAATATTATAATGAATTTTATATACATTTTATGAATTTAACTAATATCTCAAACTCTTTCTTTATGAATAACACAGGTAATTTATGTTTGGAACTAAAAATCAGTTCATGTTTTAAGAAATAAAAAAAATTGAAAGTACTTTATAACCCATATCCATTTGTGTAAGTTTTCAAGATTACTTATATTAAAGTAAAAAAATTTTTTAAATTAAAAACATTTAAAAAAAAAAAAATATATATATATGTATAATAAATTTATTGAATTTATTAAACGTTTCAATTTTTAATCATTATATAAATGAAGAACGAATGTACCTTAATTGATTGTTTTATAAGGAAGGTTTATGGATAATTTATTTTTAAATAACGTAATGAAATTATTTATAAATTATCAATTTAATATATGAACAATATATTAAAACACTGAATTATTTAAAAATTTAAAACTTTTTAATTATTTTTTATAGATTCCATGATAAAAAAATATATTAATTTAAATTAAATATTTACATATATAAATAAATGCAATATATTTTTTAGTATTCTTTATTTATTTTAGTGAATTTAAAAAAAATTTAATTTAAATTGTTTATAAAGTTTAAATAAGGGATAATAAAAAGTATTAAATAAAAATAAGGAAAATAAAAGGAAATATTTTTATAACTTATGAATCCATATTGGTATTTCCATATATAAAAACTTATACATATATTTTTATTTACAACTATAAAAAAAATATAACATATTTTATAAAAATATCATACGATAAAAACATAATATGCTTTCATCATCTTTTTAATATTAACACTAATATAAAATGAAAATTAAAAAAAAATTTTTATTGTTATCTCTAACTCTTTTTTTAGTATAAAGTTTACTAATATTTTTATGACTTTTTTATATAATGATTTTTCTTCAATATTACATAATAATTTGATATTTAAATTTAACTTTTATCCTTTATTTTTTTTTTTCTTTTGTAATGAATAGTTTAATATATATTTCTATAAATAAGATTTTCAAAAATGACTTTTTTTTTTTTTTTGGTTATGTCTTATTAGAAAGTTAAAAGGAACTACCTTTTTTTCTTAATATATTTTACATTGACAATAAAAAATGTATCATTACTTTCATATTTTTACTATAAAATTTGTATATATTAAAAATATATGTAAATATGATTTTATAAATTACATTATTTAGATGTGTAAATATTCTATTAATCTGTCTGATGAGATTATTCATGTTATTATATTTATTAATATACGAATATTTAAAATAACCTTTGTGAAGATTATTTTTTTTTTTTTTTTTACTCCTTTTTTCTTGTAGAAAATGTAATTTTTCAAAAAAATTTTATAATTAAAAAAATAATACTGATATGTTTTAAACATATATTTCTCTTAATTTTTTCTATTTTTTTTTTTTATTTAAGGTACATTTTAAATTGTTTCCAGATTTACTAATTTAAATCTATTAGAAATTTTGATTTTTTCTCTGAAAAGTTGAATGTAATTTGTATTTTTTTTTTGTAGGATAAAATATTTATAATTTTCTTTTTGACTTTTTATTTTTAAAATGTTTAATAAAATTTTTTATTTTACGTAATTATCTTAATAGTATGTTTTAAAATTTATTTTTGATAAAAATTTTTATTATACAATTTGCTGAAGTTGCATAATAGTGTTAAACTTTTTCAACAGTTATTCAACTTAAATATATTTTTCTAAATTTTGTTTTTAGTATTCATTAAAGTGTTATATTTTAGTAATTTATCTTTTTAACTGTCGTTTTTACAAATATTTTTTCGAATTTATTTTTTAAAGATTTAAATAAGTGTTGATGCTTAAAAAGAATTTTTTCTTACATTTTTTTATCTAACTACCTCAATTTATATATATATTAAGATTTTGAATTACTGATAATTTTTTTTTTTTTTTCTAATTAAATGAAAATGCTATCATTATGATATATCAAAAAGATAATTTTTTATGGAAATTTAAATTAAAAAAGGCATATTATTATATATTAACAAATAATTAAAAAAATAGGAAAAAATAAAAAGAAAAACATAGGCATACATTATAAACAATATATGAAAAAATGTATTAATGTAATAATATTTATATATGATTATTTTTTTTAATATTTTGTAATAAATAATTCATCCAATAAATACTTTTGGAATTAATTTAAGAGGATTTATTGTAAATTCATTATTATAATATAAACCATATCCAAATATTAAGGGTGTGAAACAATAAAATAAAAATGGCCTTATAACCTTATCACACAAACGAACTGATAAAACATATGTCTAATAAAAAAAAAAAAAAAAAAAAAAAAGAATGTATTTTTATGTAAAACTACAATATTTTAACTAATATATATGTAAAAATGAAATAAAAATTAAGAAAAATTACTTAAAATATTATGAAATAATATTAAATATTAATCTTTTAAATATAATATTACAAATGTATATTTATAAATAGTTAAACTAATAAAATTTATCTATTATATTAAATGAAAATAAATTTTACCTTATCCATTAATTTTTTGGTATCTTTACTAAAGATAGCACCCATTGTTACCTCCTTTAAATATATATTTGCTTTAATAAAAATATATTTTTTCAATACTTTTGCATATAGTTCTAAAAAAAAATTAACTTAAATTTTTTAAATAACATATATATGTTTATTAAAAATTATTTCTTAATTATTTGATTATTTTTATTATTTTTTTTTTTTTTTATAAAACCATTACATTAAAATTAAATAATTCGAAATAAAAAAATTAAATGACTTTGTGTTTATTCAATAATCATAAATTAAAAAATAATAAAATTTATAATTGATCGAAATATATTATATTTATGATAATTTAAAATAAAATATAAATATAAAATAAAAAATAGAAATGAAAATAAAAATAAAAATAAAAACAAAAACAAATAAAAATGTAGAGTATTTCTTTAAATGAACTCACATAAATGTTCGTAAGTGCTTTATTTTTTCTGTAATAATGTTACACAATAATAAAATTTTATTAATCGTATTTTTTTTTTTTTTTTTTTTTTTGTATCACAAATTATACATTTCATTATGATCAAATTATTTTTTTTTAATTTTAATATTTTTAATTTTTAGTATATATCTTTTTAAAATAATTTTTTTTTTTTTTTTTTTTTTTTTTTTTTATTTTTTTTTTTTTTTTTTTTTTTTTTT